TTCTTCTTCTTCTTCTTCTTCTTCTTCTTCTTCTTCTTCTTCTTCTTCTTCTTTTTCCTCTTCTTCATACATTTACATAAACACTAGACTTTTATTCTTGCAATAATTCAGGCGTTTTATGTCATAATTAAATTGTTTTTTTTATCTACTCGTTATTCCATTGTTTTGCTGTCGAAATTCAATTGCTTGTCTTTTTGTTGTTGTTGTTGTAGTACAAGTAATTTTGGGTGTCCCTGGTCGGTAGTTTTATTTTCGGAATTCAACAGTTTTTGTTGGGTCATAAATCGATTGTTTTTACTTAGAATTTAATTGTTTTTTCATGCCGTAATTTAGTAGCTTTTTTTGTATTTAGGTTTTTGATAGAGTTAGGTCTAGGTCTATATCATTCATTCAGTAGTTTCCATTTCTGTCGTAAATCAGTGGCATTTTAGAAATGTTTACGTAACTCCATACTACCGGTACATCTGCATACAAATCCATAATGTACATGTTCAGATTTGAACTCAAAACACTACAGCTTTTGCCGGATGAACTGGATGAGTCTACTTACGGCCTGGAAGTGAAAAATGCAAAGAACGGGAAATATCAGGCAGAGGATTTTTTTATCTTCCTGGACATTCTCGGCTCGGGCCGGACTGGCGTCGTGTTTCGCGCCATTTTCAAGCCGGACAACAAGGAGCTGGCGGTGAAGTTCATCAGCCACTTCCGCAAGTACCGCGCCAACGTCATGAGGGAGCTTTCCGTCCTCAAAATGACCAGGAAATGCAGGTAAACGGAGGAGTGCTCAGCTTGTGGCTAATTTAGAGATTGTTTGGTGGCTCTCGAGGCCAAGAGGTTAAGGTGTTCGCCTCTCATTCAAAGGTCCCGGGTTCGTATCCGGGTAGCTACGGAAAAAATTTCTTCTCTAAAATTGTCTCCTTTCACATCCTTCCCTGCTCTCTAGTAATGGTCTCCACTTTCTGCCCTCACCCCCTCACTTCCTTAGTCCCCTCCTCTGGGCTCCTGGCTCTTTCTGCAGCCTTTCTTCTGCTACTCCTTGACTCCTTCTCACTGCTGTCTTTCAACATCACCCCTGATCTTCTTGTAAGAAAGATGTACACCTAACCTTCTCGGACAAGGGCGAAAAATCTCGGAAATCCCATGTGCAAGTTACGCACGTTAAAGATCCCTTGATGTTGTAAAATCGATAAGAGTAGGCTTCGGCCGCCACCCGGGCAACATTTCTTACCAACTGAAAATGTTTGGTGTGTCCCGCGCGTTCACATGACCTTATTCAGTTGCGAGCTCGTAAAACACTTACTCCCCCCCCCCCAAAAAAAAAAGAGTTTGTTTCTGTTTCTTGTGCATCTGCTCATGTTTTTGTTTCTTTATTTTAGAATTAGGGTGGGGATGAGAGGGGGTTGGGAGGGGGGCGTGTATGTCTTTTTTTTCATTTTCTATTTTTTTCCGGGGCCTGTTACTTGGGTTTTTTTTTTTTATTGTTCCTGCGGTTATTTACCCTTTACAAAATAGCTGTTGATACGTTTCTTTGGATCGGTTTCTTTCCATTGGCATAATGGCTGTTGACACTTTTCGTTGGATCGTTTACTT